GGGGGGGGGGGGGCGAGCCTTATCCCCAGGAAATGGGACGCGGAGGAAGCTTCTGGAGTTCGAGTTGTCCCTGCTCACCCCCAGGGCAGGTGACTCCCCTTCCCACGTGGTTCCCGGCCCGGCTCCTCCGGTGGATGCTCCTTTGGGTTCCCTTGACTCCGGCGCCTCTCCCTGGAGCCCCTCCGTCCGCAGCCTCCCTCCTGCAGCCCTGCGCCCCCCGGTGGAGTCCGGAGACCTCCCTGGGCCTCTGGAAACCCTCCCTGAGTCCCCAGGAGTCCCCACAGGTGAGCCGGCATCACTTGTTGGCGTGCCTGCTGCGCCTGCGCCCTCCGGACGAATTAAAATACATTTTTATCCGCCTCTTCAATCAGTTACTGAGAGTATTTAAAAATCTGGGGTTTTGAATTCGCCTGTGACTCCTTATAGTTTTGGCAGTATATCCTGAGGCTCTTAGTGCATGTAAATTTGAAAGTATGGTTTCTGACTAATTGGTCCTCTTATCTTTATGAAATGACTCACTTTGGCAATATTTGTTGCTTAGCACATGCTTTATTGCTTATACGGCTAGGTCAGTGTTCTCTTGGTTAGAGTTTGAGATCTCCTTTATACAGACATGACGTGGGCATAAGTGTACAAAGACATATTTCAAGCCTCAGGCACAGAGAGTGGAATTAACTGTAAGATTATGGAATTTCTGAATTTCCCATGCTGTGAGCTGCTGATGCTTTGGAACTTTGCCTGCACAAATTACCATTAGCTGAGCTAGAAGTGGAGCCTTGCAGACGGGATCAGCACTTGCTTTTTGCAGGTTTATGGGAGCTACTCAACTAAATGGCAAGAGGTTTGTCCAGTGCCCCTCGCTAGTGTGAATTCAGGCTGAAAACACTCATGGTGGCCAGGTTGTACTTTTTTTCTCCCGTCCACTTAACACTAAGATTTGAACTAATAGATTTTCCTGTCTCCTGGAACTGGGCTTGGGATGGGAGGAGTGGGGGATTGAGGAGAAAAGCAGTTTATTTCTACATTCATTCTTCTTTTAATGTAATTTTTTAATGTGTATTTTTAAATAAAAAAAATTTTTTAATGTTTATTTATTTTTTTGAGAGAGAGCATGAGTGGGGAAGGGGCAGAGAGAGAGAGAGAGAGAGGGGGAGACCCAGAATTGGAAGCAGGCTCCGGGCTGTGAGATCATGACCTGCTGAGCCACCCAGGGCTCAGTGGGTTTCACCCACTAGGATCACTTTTGGGGGGAAGATCCCAATTAGACTCCCCAACTTGACAGGCTCTTTGGGCTGTGTCTCTGGAGCCATTGGAGGCCATGAATGCAAACCTCTATGTGTTCCCTCCCCCACCCCGCCTCCTTATTTGGGGGAAATGGCTGGCTACAGTCTTGTCTGCAATCAGTGTCTGATTTGAGAATTCCTTACGTTCATGACAGCCCATTGACTCTCTTAAGATGGTCAGATTTTTAGTTGTTTTTAACAAGAGGATTCATTCAGGTGGTTAGCCCGTCACCTTACTGGAAACAGAATCTAAATTTAGTACATGGTACCTCAAACTCTGTTAGGCTCCTTATTTATGCTTTTGTCTCTCACATAATTATATATGTCCATAAATGACAATTGAGAGTATTTGTTTTAGATTCCATGGGAAGAAATTGGGAAGGTGATCAGCTTTAGCGATTAAGTATGTGCTGACCATTTCAGCAATGTTCCTGGCTTGGGTCAGTTTTTAAAGAGGCTGCCAGAAAGTGTTGACGATGATACCACAAGCCACTTACATCTGCTGGTTTGAAACTGCCCAGGAAACTTTACATTTTTTATTTTTAGCTTTTACTTCCCTTCGGTTTATATTTCCGTTGTAGTAGCCTTCTTCCAATGCCAAAACCGCACGAGCAAGCTATGGGAGGTTGACAATTGCCCTGCCCCCACGAGATATGTCTATCTGGAGCCTCCAAATGTGACCTAATATAGGAAGAGGACCTTTTGGATATAATTAGGGATTTTTTTTAAGTTTATTTATTTTGAGAGAGAGAGCATGAGTGGAGAAGGAACAGAGAGAGAGAGAGGGAGAGAGAGAATCCCAAGGAGGCTCTGCTCTGTCAGAGTGGAGCCCAGCATGGGGCTCGAACTCACAAACCTTGACAGTATGACCTTAGCTGATACCGAGTTGGATGCTTAACCCATGGAGCCACCCAGACGCCCTGATATAATTAAGGATCTTAAGAGGAGATCATCCTGGATTACGTAGGTAGACCCTAATCCAATAGCAGGTGCCTTTACAGCAAGAGGAAAAGACAAAGGCAGAGCCACAGGAAAAGACACAGAGGAGAGACACGGAATGAAGGTGACCACAGAGCAGGAGCCCGAGGTGATGCATCTGCAGAAGCTAGGAGAAAGGCACGTACACTCCTTCACACTCCCGGCAGGAAGCAGCTCTGCAGGCACCTTGATTTCAGATTCCTGGCCTCTAGAACCATGAGGGATTACATTTCTGTGATTTTAAGCCACCCGGTTAAACTTGAACTTGTTTGGGCAGCTCTGGGAAACTAACAAACTCACACTCTCACTGCTTCAATGAGATTGAAAGCCTAGTTTCCCATCAATTGTGATCAAGGTCAGGGACCAGAATGGAACTTCTCTGGAGCCACTCCCAACTTCAGCAGTTTTCTGCTTGTGTTCTTTCTCCAATCAAGGGTTTCCAGGAGTTTCCCATTAGTGTACATGCTCAAAGCTTTTAAAAGTATAACGCCCTTCCTATTACTGTTACTTTTTTTTCTGTTACCTTTTTAAAAATTTTATTTTAGAGAGAGCATGCACACCCATGTGTGGGGGGGGGGCAGAGAGAGAGAGAGAGAGAGAGAAGGAGAGAGAATCCCAAGCAGGCTCCCCCGCTTGGGATTGGGCAGAGCCCAATGCAGGGCGTGAACCCATGAATGGTGAGATCATGACCTGAGCTCATGACATGAGCCGAAGCCGGACGCTTAACCCACTGAGCCACCCAGGCACCCGCTATTACCGTTACTTTTGACCATGCCTCACGTCTGGGCTTGGTTCTTGCCATCATCCCCCTCTTCACCCTCATCTATGGTAGTATTTTTAATGTTTGACCCTCTCTCCCGTCCCCTCCTTCACACTTCCCCCCGCCTCCTCCAAACACATTGAAAAAGTCTCTCTGAAACATCTAGTGTGTCTCTGAACTTGACAGAAAAGTCATTTTTATCCAGTGAAGTCCAACAATACAACAGTTGCTAGGATTTGTCATCGCAGCAGCGCTGTGAGGTGGGCATTGTCGTCACCATTTTATTTAAAAGGACAGTGTTCCTCCAGTTAGAATCAAAGAACTAGAACCAGAAGGAGCCTTGGAGCTGCTAGCCTGTTTTATTAATTTATTAAACAGTGCTGAGTAGCTATGATGTCCTAGATTCTAGATTCTAAGCCGCTCTGGGGATTCCAATGTAATTGATCTATTCTGAGCCTCACTGGCTGGCAAACGACTATACATCACTATCTGCATGTAGTGCAATTTTGGAGCATTAAGAAGTTTGATGCTGGGGTGCCTGGGTGGCTCAGTCAGTTAAGCATCTGACCTGATTTCGGCTCAGGTCATGATCATGATCTCACAGTTCATGGTATTGAGCCCCATGTTGGGCTCTGTGCCGACAGCATGGAGCCTGTTTGGGATTCTCTCTCTCCCTCTCTCTCTGCCCCTCCCCTACTCACGTTCTCTCTCTCTTTCTCTCTCTCTCTCAAAATAAATAAATAAACTAAAAAAGAGATTAAAAGAAACTTGATGTTAATTTTAAGCCAAGATAATTATAAGTAGGCATTTTTTTACACGCTCCAAAACAACGTAAATGGACAAAACTATGTTGTAGAACCCTATTTATATTGGCACTTATAAATCTACTTTATTCATAACTGTTGCATAGTATTTCATAGAAGAATATGCCAAAATTTACTTACTAATTCCTCCATTGGTATTTCCAGTATTTTGTTGCAATAGACATCTCTTTGTACCCGTACTAAAGTATTGCTTTAAAAACAAACTTAAACTGGAATAGAGGTAGAGCTGCTCAGCCAGAGGATAGTTATATTGTGATTGATAGACACGGTCAAATTTCCCTGCCGAGCTACTGTTTTATACTCCTGTGTTTATTATGAGCATACACCTCTCCCAGGGGGCCCACCAACACTGAATACTACTCATCTTTAAAATTCTGCCAGGGGCACCTGGGTGGCTCAGTTGGTTAAGCGTCTGCCTTAGGCTCAGGTCATGATCTCACGGTTCGTGGGTTCAAGCCCCGCATTGGGCTCTGTGCTACCAGCGCGGAGCCTGGAGCCTGCTTCAGATTCTGTGTCTCCCTCTCTCTCTGCCCCTCCCCCACTCACGCGCGCGCGCTTTCTCTCTCTCGCTCTCTCTCTCTCAAAAATGAGTAAACGTTAAAAAAATTTTTTTTAAATTCTGCCAATGTGAAGGGTGCAAGTGACCATCTTGTTTTGATGGGAGGAGAGCAGAAGAGAAGGTTAGGGAAGATTCTCACTGTGTTCCCTTTGTGTCTGATGGGAGACACATCTGAAGGGGCTGGGCTCCTCTCTCCTTCTGCCAGGCTGAGCTGGCCTGAGCTAGTCTGCAGAGGAGCAGCAGGGCTTTCGGTGGATGTTAACATTCTGGATATGCAGAGGCTCTTCTGGATTGTTCCAGGGTGCTCTGTCTGCAACCTTTGACCTTCAGTGTAGATTAGGCCCTCCATATGCATTTTCCCTACTCTTCTCTCTGGGCCCAGAGACGCCGTCTTTTACTTCTCGTGACCCAGAGAACCTAAGTGTTCCATAGGCGAACGTAAGCGTGTAGCGGCCTAAATGTGTAATGTGGTGTGAGATCAGGTCCTTTTTTTGTGTGCACCCAGATTACCATAAGAGGCTGGCCATGCTCGCCTGGACTTTGGCCTTGGTGCAGATAGACCATCGATGGCTGGCCCATGCTGTGGGAGATGAGAGTTTGGGGAACTCTACGTGCTCTTACTTTTCTCTAACAGACCGTGTGCCACACTGTGTTAATACTGTTGGCACTAGGGCTGTGTGTCGGTGACCGAGGCTTTAAGCGTCACAATATGCTTTGTCATGCTCTCATTTTACACTAACGGAAACTTAATTCAAGCATGACTTGAGCAATTTCTTTTTCAGCGATAAAAACAACCATTTATTATGTCCACAGAGTCTGTGGGTCAGGCATTCTCAGACAGGGCACGCCAGGGACAGCTTGTGTCTGCTCCGTGCTGTCT